TCTGAGTTTGTTAACGACCACTTCCTTTCCCAAAAATGTTTTTTTAATACCAAAAACTAAACAAATAACTGAGTATAAAAAATGATAAAAATCAAAATATTCTATAGCTAAGAATTGGTGGTTCAGTAGTTAGAATTCTCGCTTTCTATGTGAGAGAAAGATGAGGTAGTTTCTACTCTCATGAACAGTTAGTCTTGGAAACAGGAGCAGTTCTAGTCTGTCCTATGGGGTCCCCGTGAGTCAGAATTGACTCAATGGAAGTAAATGTATTTTTTTAGATGTGGGAGACTTGGGTTCAATTCCTGGTAAATGTATCTCACACACTGCTGCCACTTCTGGCAGTGCTTGTATGTTGCTATGATACTGAGCAGGTTTAAGCAGAACTTACAGACTAAGACAGACTAAGACGAAGAATAAAGGCCTGCTGGTCTACTCTCAACATTTAGCCAGTGAAAACCCCATAGCACACAATGGTCCAATTCACAACTGATTATGGGGATGGCACAAGTTGGGCATTTTTTTCCATTATGGATAGAGGCACCAGGACTTGGGGGCCAACTCAAAAGCAGTTAACAAAACAGCATATATAGAATAGTTTCTTCCAAATATGTATGTCACATGTTTAATTTGTGTAAAAAACACTGTTTTACATTTTATTCCCCATACTATATTTAGTAACATATCTTGCACCTGGTAGAGCAGTGGTTCTCAACCTATGGGTCGTGACCTCTTTGGAGGTCAAACGACCCTTTCACAGGGGTTGCCCAATTCATAACAATAGCAAAATGACAATTATGAAGTAGCAACGAAAATAACTTTATGGTTGGGGGGGGGTCATCACAACATGAGGAGCTGTATTAAAGGGTCACAGCATTAGGAAAGTTGAGAACCACTGTGGTGGAGGATCATCAGCACCCAATGATTGCTTAGAAGTATTCATACCTTGATGGAAAGCTATGTCTTTTTACTCTTTCAGGGTTTAAAAAGTAACAACAGCCTAATATGTAGGAATGCCTCCTTTCAGGAAAACATCACCAGTCTGCTTTATTAACCCACTGTTGATGTAATAATTAACTTTCAAAACAATATTAACTATTTTTTAATGTAAATACTTAGAACTTGTACATTTTATTTCATCTAAATTTTACATCAAAAGAAAATAAAAACAAATACTGAGCTCTAGTTGATGTGTATGCAGAAATATTTAGGGCAAAGTGTATAGTTATATATAAATTACTTGGATCATAAAATTACAATGGATCATAAAATAAGATCTATTGATGGATAAATGAATAGATCACAATAAAGCAATAGAGTTAACATGATAGTGGTACAATGTTGTTGGGCATACCAGTTGTTTTTGTAAAATTCTTTCAACTTTAATGTATTTTTGAAATTTTTTCCTAATAAAAGCACTGGTAAGATTCTCTATTTTATTCTTCCACCCTTCTATATGGGAATAACACTTCAAATGTAACTCAGAAACTTTATATATGTATATTCATATTTTTTTTCATTTTTGCAAAACACTAAAATGTTACCTTATTCCGATCTAACTTTTCTGCAGAGTGGTATCAGAACTATTTTTTTGTTATGCTTTAAAAAGTTTCCTGTATAAACAAATTTAGCCATCTTTCCAGTAAGGTTTTAAGAGCATTATCTATTTCTTTTTCCTATAAGGCCAGAGACAGAACATTTATCAGTTACCAACTTTCTGGAATTCCCAAATAACTTTTTTTTTAAATCCTTTTATTAGGGGCTCATCTAACTCTTATCACAATCCATACACACATCAATTGTGTAAAGCACATTTGTACATTCATTGCCCTCATCATTCTCAAAACATTTCCTCTCCATCTAAGCCCCGGCCATCAGCTCATTTTTTTCCCCTCCCTCCCCGCTCCATCCCCCAAATAACTTTTCAACGCTACTTATTTATATGTTAAGGAGGTTCACTGCATTAAATGCTGGGCAGCAAACCAAAAATTCTAGTAGTTCAAACATACAAAGTGTTTTGCCAAAGAAAGATAAGGCAGTCTGTTTCTGTAAAGATTTACAGCCTTGGAAACCTTAGCAGGGGTCTTCAAACATTTTAAACAGGTGCCAGTTCACTGTCCCTCAGACCCGTTGGTGGGCCGGACTATAGTTTTAAAAAAAAACTATGAACAAATTCCTATGCACACTGCACATACCTTATTTTGAAGTAATAAAACAAACAGGGCAAAAACACCTGGTGGGCTGGATAAATGTCCTCGGCGGGCTGCATGTGGCCAGCAGGCCGTAGTTTGAGGATGCCTGCCTTATGGAGTAGTTTATTCTGTCATTTGGGTTCGAGATATAATAAACTCCACAGCAGTTGAGAGAGAGAGAGAGAGAGAGAGAGAGAGAGAGAGAGAGTGTGTGTGTGTGTGTGTGTGTGTGTTTTCAAGGAAGGTTTAATCTGTCATTTGGGTTCGAGATAGAATAAACTCCATAGCAGCTGAGAGAGAGAGAGAGAGTGTTTTCAAGGAAGGTGCCCTGGAGGCATACTGGGTTAAACATTGGGCTGCTAACTGTAAAATCGACAGTTCAAACCCACTAGCAACTCCACAGAAGAAAAGGCTGTCTGCTCCCATAAGAGATGACAGTCTTGGGAACCCAAGGAGATCTACTCTGTCCTATAAGGTCACAATGAGGAAGAATTGATTCAATGGCAGTGGGTGGATATAAGCTTATCAGCTTATGCTTGGGTGGAAGACAGAAGTGGGTCTAGTACAGGCCAATCCTTTCTATTGTATAAATGTACTGAAAATGTCAATTTCTCATTTCTGCCTAAAAAGAAACAATGCATACCTACTGAAGTTGTCGAGGATTCATTTTACTTGGACCTAAAAAATCAATGCTCATGGAAGCAGCAGATCAAACAGCACATTGCATGGGGCAAATTTGCTGCAAAAGATTTCTTAAAGTGTCAAAGCGCAAAGATGTCACTTTGAGGACTAAGGTGCTCCTGGCCCAAGCCATGGCATTTTCAATTGCTTCATATGGATGCAAGTAGCAAACAATGAATAAAGAAGACCTGAGAAGAACTGAGGCATCTGAATTATGGTGCTAGCAAAGAACACTGAAGATCCCATGGATTTCCAAAAAAACCAACCAAGCAAGCAAGCAAATCAGTCTTGGAGGAAGTATAACCAGAATGCAACTTGGAAGCAAGGATGGTGAGACTTTGCCTTACATACTCTGAACATTTTATCAGGAGAGACCAGGCTTGGTAGAGGGTCAGGAAAAAGAATAAGAACCTTGAGAGGAATTGGCACAATGGCTACCACAATGGGCTCAAACATAACAATTTTAAGGATGTTCCTGAACCAGAAATGTTTCCTTCTGTGGTGCACAGGGTCACTATGAGTAGGAACCAACTCAAAGGCACCATAAGCAATATAATATTCACCTCCAAGTATCTCAGCTACTTAAGATTTAGGCAGAAGCAGACATTTAACTGAGTCTGTTTTAAAAGATTAAGTTTATAAAAACACATTTTAAACTTCGAAAGAAAGTTTATAGCATGTTACCCCAAAGTGGGAGATACCCAGGGGTAGGTGCTGGAAAAATCCAAGAAGACTACTAAAGCAGAAACCTATACTTTATCCTGGATTACGGACTACAGAACAAAAGTTTTTAATTGCCAGGATGGGGTGCTGAAATTTTTTTCCCCCTGAAAAAGGGGGGTGATAGGTCAAATAAGCTTGGGAGCCTAAGCTCTAAATCAGTGGTCCTCAACCTTCCTAATACTGTGACCCTTTAATACAGTTCTTCACGTTGTGGTGACCCCTAACCAGAAAACTTTTTTTTCAGAAACTTATTTTTGCTGCTACTTCATAACTAATTTTGCTACTGTTATGAATCATAATGTAACCATCTGATATGCAGGATATATTTCCATTGTTACAAACCGAACATAATTAAAGCATAGTGATTAATCACAAAACAATATGTAATTATATATTGTGAAATATTTCTTTCTAATGACAAATAAAATTTTACCATGAAGCATGGTGTGTAGCATGGGTAACAGTCTTCACATCGGGTACTCGTGTATGTGGGCATATCTGCATATGGGTATAGCATGGGTAAGTCTTCACATCGGGTACTCGTATGTGGGCATATCTGCATATGGGCAGACTCGCCTGGAGACAGATAGAGGAGCGGTGCCTCGGTTTCTAAGACCATCAGAAATGTTTTCCAATGGTCTTAGGTGACCCTTGTGGAAGGGTCATTCGACCCCCCAAAGGGGTCGTGACCCACAGGTTGAGAACCGCTGGTCTAAATCAATATAAGAATACTTTGATAACACATCCAGTTACTCACATTCAATCTCACACACATTGAAAACACAGTAGCCAATAGGCACAATTTGAAAGTCTGCTTAAAAATTATTTAATTAAGGGGCAAATTTTTTTTAACAGCTGAAGATTTTCTGCTATTGAGGACTTTATAGTAGATAAAAGCAGCTATATCATATAATGATTAATGGTTAGTGGTTAAAAGTCTACACTTTGGACTGAGTTTGAATCACAACATAGCTAAATGATGCTGGGTAAAATACTTCTCTATACTACAATTAATTTCATCACCTGTAAAATGAAGACAGTAAGTACCAACTTCACAGAGGCATTTGAGGATTACATAGACAAACACTTACCGATGATAGGCTTCTCTCCGATACTTTTTCAGGGCATGCTTATCCATGTTAGCAGGCATATCTGCTGCATTCTGTAACCGGTCACTCCAGGAGGTTGTCATTTTACCTTAAATGTATGCTGAATTCTACAAAAGAAAAGCATTTAGCTAGCTTAATACTGAGATGTGTATATTGTTATTCAATTTTTAAAAAACATTAGGAAAATACAAAGTTTGCAAGCTGCCTGATATAACTGTCCACCAAATATAGTGAATACAGTATACTAAAAATATTACATTTTTAAGCATGTAAATTTAGGGAAAATCACATATGGTCATTTCTATCCAGAGAGTCATATATAACACTTCACAATCATTAAGCATGACTACTGATAATTATTGACTTTAGCCCTAGGTTCTCAAAAAGGGGCTGAAACCACACAAGTTTGTGAAAACATAAGTTTGAATCCATGCTTCAATTGTCCTCCAACATATTAAGCTCAATTACTTGGTGATTGAACTATAGTAGACTATATTGTATCCATATGTCTTTCAATTTTCAACACTATTCTCTTCTCTGGAGGGAAAAGACAAATAGTTGCACTTCAGATGACTACTCATGAGTTTCTAAAACCTGTCACTACTCACTAAAGTAGAAAGAAGATTGTCTTTGTGAATGTCATTACCATTAACCTTGGTATCTCCAGGAACTATAATCATGAGCCCCTAAGCCCAGCAACTCATTGCCTCAATATGTTTGGTTACATCTAAGAAACTTTCATAACCTTGCCCCTCATATCCTCTGCCACATTCGGGGATATAGTTTCAGCAAAGGTAAATACAAATATACAAATGCCCTGTCAAATCTCTATATAGTCAGGTATATATGAGGGGATACCAAAAAAAAAGAATTGCACTGGGCAGAGTTTTCGTACTACACATTGTCCCCACTAGGTGAGCATCAAGCAACTCATTCTGAGTTAGTACACTCAGTGGCATTACCTAGGAAGGTTCTTTCTGGTCACAGTGAATTTCTTCGTAAAAGCAGTTGAACTCTAATCTCGCTTTTTGTGGTGGCGATTTAAGAAAACAGTGTATGGCTATGAAATTTGGTTTCCTGCTTGGGAAAATTGCTGCAGAAATTGTTGTGATGTTGAACACAGTTTATAAGGACAACACTGTGGGAAAAACTCAAATGGTTTTCTCGTTTCAAAAAAGGTGAAATGTTGATTGATGACAAACCCCATTCTGGATGTCTGTCAATTTCCCAAATGGATGACATGTCGACTCATAGTACAATTGGAGTTCATTCCACCAGGTCAGACTATTAATCAAGCTTTCTATTTAGAGGTTCTGAAAAGATTGT